GTTCATTTGAACGTTCAAAACTTTAGGATCACAAAAATAATTGAATTCTTGCGTAGAATTTTATAAAAAATCTATTTAAATAATTGATTTTCTTCCCAAAATATTAAGAAAATTATGTTTTAAATAATTGAATTGATTTGAAAATTTTTTTTATTTATGAAAATAATTGAATGGTTGCGAAGAATTTTATAAACATTTTTTTTTAAATTATTCCATTCTTTTGTGAAATTTTTTATTGAAATAGTAGATATTAAAAATCATTGAATTAAGAAAAATTTGTGAAAATAATTATTGAATCGTTTGAAAGAATTTTATTAAAAATTTTTTGAATTTTTTCCATTCACTTTATTTTATTTTTTAAAATAATTGAATTCCTGCAATGAATTTCATTATTTATGAAAGCAAATAAATTTTTGCAAAGAATATTATTAAATTTTTTAAAAAATAATCTAATTCCAGAGAAGAATAAATTGTTATTTATTTATTTCGAATATTTCATGGGTAAAGAATTTTTATATTTTTAAAAATAATTGAATTCTTGAGACGAATTTTATTATTTGTGAAAATAGTTGAATTTTTTCAACGAATTTTATAAAAATTTTAAAAAAATAATTGAATTGCTGAAAAAGTAGCTTTTAGTGTAACAAATAAAAAAAGTATCCAAATAGTAGCAAATAGTAAAAAAGTAGTAAATAGTATAGGTTTTAGCAGATGAGAGTGCGAGGCCTGCGTTTGTGAGCGAATTTTCAAAAAAGAGAAAAATTTAATTAACATTCGGAAAATAATTTTACCTTTATATTTGAAACAAAAATGTCTGAAAAATGACTCGATTATTCCTTACAGCTTATTGTAAATTGCAAATTGTAAATTGTAAATTGTAAATTGTAAATTGTAAATTGTAAATTGTAAATTGTAAATTGAAAATTGTAAATATGATCCCACGTTTCCAGTGTACCTTTTTTAATTGGTAAACATTGCATAATAATTAAGGCCAATTAGATACTGCCAATAGTTGATAAGACAAGATACATGTTTAACAACGCGGAAAACTAAAGTCCCTCTTAATCTCAATACATATAAGTCTTTGCATTTCGATATAGAGGCAATTTAAACAGGCTCCCTTTCAAAACTAAAAGAGAGAATATCAACACAAACGTGTCCCGTGCATTCAGTTAACGACTCCGCGAGTTAGATCGCATAAATAATTACGCTCAGAGGAGAGAACATACGAACGGAACATAACTCGTTGGAAAAAGAAATTCCGCATGTTTGCCATCCCCTCACTTGCATTTAGAAATGTGTTTCATAGGCTCATCTCTTATATGAGACGGAATAACTTTACAACGACAAAAAAAAAACGTATATATAGTTATAACCACCTGCAGATGAATTTACAGAGTCAAAGAAAGATGTAAACAAATGAGCTCATAAAAACTACAAGGGAAGATGTTAAAAAAATATTCTAAATGTGCTGTTGATTATATTCGAGATGTGAGAATTATTTCATCTTGATAGTTCAATTCTTCATTTATACATTTTATATGCGAGCAGCGCATTTTATAATATTTGTTAATACTTTGTCGGTCTGGCGATTTTCAAACACGATGAGACAAAAAGTTTGTTCAATGTTCCTTCGCTTTAATCCCGAGAGATAAATTAATTACAATTTTTGTTTCGATTGAAAATATTTCTAACAGAGTTTTTCTAAGAATATTAAAATTGAGACAAAATTTTCAAATGAATTTGCAAACGAATTACGGAAAAATTATCAAAATAATTTAAAAAGGAGAACGACTTATTCAAACTAATTTAAAAAAGAGAACATCTTATATTCAAAATAATTGAAAAAGATAACAACCTATCAAAATAAGAAAAATTTTCCAAATTTTATAGAAAACAAATTTTCTACAAAATAGAAGAAAAAATTTGTAAACAGGTGGGAAAAAAAGATGAGTATGTGACAACCTGCAATCCTTATTAATTTAAATAATTCGAAAAATTTTATATTATAGACATTTTCTCTCCATATAGAAAGTCGAATTTCATTTTGTAAATCAGGTCAACATTTTAATGAATATTGATCTATCATTTATGTGTATACGAACAACATAAAATTTAGTCATATATATACATATATATCGAGCAAATGTCACGCATTCGTAAATGTATTATTTTTAGGTTGGATTTAACAACTGTAAAGAATTGAAAGTAGATTTAACCCATTTGCATAAAATTAATTAATGTAACAACGTAAACTAAATTTTAATGGCATCCAAAATTGAAAAAGTTAATTTGGATCAAAAATTTAACATTTTGTTCTCAATGCCTCGTATAGTTTTGGTTTACCAATAGTTATTGATTTCGATATTATATTTTAGATATATATAACAAAAATTGTATATGAAATGTATCTGGGTCAGTGACCTTAAGTGTTTAATAGTACACTTTACAAATTGACAGGCATATGTAGGTTATTAGCGTTTTTTTATTTTTTATTCAGGAAGAGTAAAACTAAACAACAGAGCTTCTTTAGGAGGAAGCAAAATTGTGAAAGTAAAGGAGAGACAGGAAATAAATGCATTTCATTTGTTGATTGCAATTTTATTGGAAATTAATTTCCTATTTGGAAAATTCGACTGCTATTTGAAGATCTATTGCTTAGCTAAAAATAATTTAGCTACTTTAGCTAAATTTTGTTAAATAAATATTTAAATAATTATTATTTGTTTTTCCATGGGTAAAAAATTAGAAAAAATTCAAATTAAAACTTGAAATTTAATAATTTCTTAAAATTACAATTATTACCCTTTCAAAATTAAATTATTTTCTACAATTTTTAACTGAACTTCATTTCCAAATCAATTATTTCTAATTTTACTTTCCTATTATTTAATTACAAAAATTTAATTTTTCATAATTATTGTAACTGTAACTGTTTATGGTCCTTCTTTATAAAAGTTATTAAGATGAATTACTGGAAATATTTAACCAAAAATATTTAAAGTTACTAATTTTTAAAAAAGTTATAATAAAGAAAATTTTTCAAATTAATTTTCTATATATATTTTTAAGAAATTTTTGAAAGTCTACAGGTTTTTAATTTATGCAATTGAAAAATTTCCAAATAATTGAAATTTGGTAAAATTTTTTAAGAATAATTTAATATTTGAAAAAATATAAAAAGAAATAATGAAAATGAAAAATTTTAATTTTAAAAACGAACATGATTTCTCCAAAATTTTAAAAATTCTAAAAACGTAAATTTAAAAAAATTTTAATTTATTTTGATCAAAGATAATTATTTTCGAACAAAAATAAATCTAATAAAAATGAATTTTAAAACATTATAATGTAACAATTATAAAACTTAGTTTTTTAAAAATATTGCAATGAAATTTTACGAAAATTTTTTGAATTTCTTTAAAGAATTTTTGTACAATTTAAAAAGAACTTGAAGATTTTTCATTGAAATTTTTAAGAATTCAATTATTTTCAAAATTTGTAATTAAAACTCCTCAAAAGTTAATTTTCATAAATTGTAATAAAATACTTGAAAAAAAATAAATTATTTTCAGTTAAATTTTACAAAATTTCAATTATTGAAAAATTTGGAAAAACTTGCAAGAAAAATCGAAAAAGTCTCATTGTATAAAAATAATAAAAAAATACAAGAAAATTTTTTTTTTAAATAATTGAATTCTTTCAAAGAATTTTATTAAAATTTTTAAGAATATAGTTGCATTTTTCGCGGAATTTATTTAAAAAATTGTATTAAAATTAAAAATAATTGAAATTCTGCGATGAGTTTTAATATTTATAAAAATAATTAATTCTTGCAACGATTATTATTAAAATTTTCAAAAATAATTGAATTTCTGGAAAGAATATTTTACTATTTATCAAAATAATTGAATTCTTGCGATGAATTTTATTATGCGTGAAAATAATTGAATTTTCCCGAAGAATGTGATTAAACATTTTTAAAATAACTGAATTCTTTCAAAGAATTTTATTAAAATTTTCAAGAATAGTCTTTGCATTTTTCGCGAAATTCATTTAAAATTGTATTAATAATCATAGAAATCCGGATAAAATTTTTGGAATAATTGAATTTCGAATAAGAATTTCATTATTTGTGAAAATAATTGAATGTCTATGTACAAAAATTTATTATTTCTGAAAATAGTGGAATTATTGCGAAAAAATTTATACAAAATTGGTAAATAATTGAATTTCTGTGAAATTTTTATTATTTATGAAAATAATTAAATGTTTTGCATAGAATTTTATTTAAATTTATGAAAATAATTTAGTTTTTCGAAGAATTTTCTTCAAATTTTTGAAAATAATTGAATTTCTGAGAAGAATTTTATTATTTTAAAAATTAATTGAATTCTTGAGAAGAATTTTATAAAAATTCGAAATAATTGAATTATTGCGAAGCAATTCATAAAGATTAAAATTCTAATAAAACAAATGATTTTTTCGAAAAATATTAGGAAAATTCTGTGTTTTAATTTTTAAATAATTGAATTCATATGAAAATTTTTATATTTATAAAAATAATTGAATTTTTGCAATGAATATTCTTAAAATTTAAAAAAATAATTGAAGAATTTTATTATTTTTAAAAATAATTGAATTCTTGCGAAGAATTTTATAAAAAATCTAATAAAATAATTGATTTTTTTTTTTTTCATAAAATATTAGGAAATTTCTGTTTAAAATAATTGAATTCCTGTGGTAATTTTTTTATTTATCAAAATTTAAATTATTCAATTCTTTTAGGGCATTTTTTTTTGAAATCGTAGATATTAAAAATCATTGAAATCGCAAAAAATTCGCTTTTTTGAAAATAGTCGAAAAAAGTCGTAAAAGTCATAATATCCGAGAGACCTGAGAGTATAATTTTGGAATGTTCCTTTGATCATTTACGTTTTGTATTCTTATTTCCTTCTCCGCTCGATGTGGCGTAACGTTCGTTTTTGTTTTTGTTTCAGGATGCACTGACTGGGCAGATCATCCAAAAGACTCGAGATGTCCGCGGTAACCAGTCCATATGGCCCCAGTAAGTTTAAATATTGTTTGCAAATCATTAATTTTAATTTCATCAATTTTCAAATTAAATTTGAATTTTCATTTGACCTACACTTTAAAAAAAATGAATTCAGGAAACTTAACGTTTCCTTTCTGTATAAAGCCTCAACTTTTAGAGTAAATAAAAATTAATTTAAATTTGCCAAAAATAAAAGATGAAATTAATAAGAATAATTAATTTTTAATAAGAAGCAAAAGAAAATTAGAAAAGTGAAATAAAAGAGAGTGTGAATCGTTTTCATGTTTCTTAGCGGAGATGCTTTCCGAGTCGGTTTACAACTACGCGACGTCCCGTCGGGATGCCGCCGATCATGACAGCGACTCCCAATTCTCGGCCCAGGCCCAATTGCAATTGGCGAATATACAAAAGCCACGTAATAAGCGAAAAAATTTCAAGCCAATCAGCAGTCGAATGGCTGAGGTCTCTGATGAATCGGATCGAGACGAGGAAGATCCTGAGGCAGCCGAGGAGGCGAGCTCAAATGAAATTCTTGAGTATGAAAGGAAGACCTTACTCCTGCCAACTGAAGAAAGGTCGAAGCAAAGGCTAAACAACAACGAAGCGAGTCCTATGGATTTGTCCGTCGCGACCAGGCCACCCTCATCAGAAGGGGACGACGATAGTGGGGACTCATACAGGCATAAATTTATTATCGAACAACTCAGGTCGCAGAAGTTCTATTCCCTTGGAGCCGAGGTTAGTAATTTATTTACTGCAAAATTAAATTCATTTCAATTTTCAAATACCGCATTGTATAACTTGTTATTATATATATATATATATGTACACTCAAGATTAGTTACTTGACTTGAAAATTCTAAGAGAGAAGCTTATCATTTATAATTGATAATTTCTTGCTTTGGATCTACATATGTGACATGTGCAATGTTTTAGATAGTCTACTAGGATAATAATATAATATTCCATAGAGACAATATTCTAATACTATTCTAACAATATTCTAACAATATTCTAACAATATTCTAATAATATTCTCATAATATTCTAAAAATATTCTAATAATTTTCTCATTGTATTCTAATAATATTCTCCTAATATTCTAATAATTTTCTCATAGTATTCTAATAATATTCTCCTAATATTCTAATAATTTTCTCATAGTATTCTAATAATATTCTCCTAATATTCTAATAATTTTTTCATAGTATTCTAATAATATTCTATATTATATTCTATTTTATATTCTATATCCACACATATAGATATCTATACATACCCACATAGCACCATAGTATGAGGTAAGGTTATGTTGAGTACTAATCGTAAGGCACATAAGGTTACACAATATTGCTGCGGTAGACCTGAGGTGAACTAAAAACTTCCGCCATGGAGGTAAGGTTACATGTTAGGGTGTGGTGAGTATATATGATAAGGCCATGGTAACCTTACACGTTAAGGTTGATGTAACCTTACACGTTAAGGTTGAGGTAACGTTACATGTTAAGGTTGAGGTAAGGTTACATGTCAAGGTTGAGGTAAGGTAATTAATAAGTTGTAAGGTTAAGGTAAGGTTGTGATAAGCTTACCAGTTATGGAAAATATTGAAAAAATAATTAATAATATAATAAATAAATATTAAATTAGAAAGTTAAGTTTGTTGCTCTTCTCTATTTTGGAAACCTGACATAAAGCAGAAAATTTTGAAAACAAATTTGGGGGGACTGGGATTCGAACCCGGGATCGACGCGCATAAACCTATCATTCTAACTAACTGAGCTAAGTAGAGAACTGGCAGAAGGAAAATTAATGTTGCCTTTAAGGTGAACCAAGAAGATGATTAACTCCTTAAAGGCAATATTAATTTTCCTTCTACCAGTTCTCTACTTAGCTCAGTTAGTTAGAATGATAGGTTTATGCGCGTCGATCCCGGGTTCAAATCCCAGTCCCCCCAAATTTGTTTTTAAAATTTTCTGCTTCATGTCAGGTTTCCAAAATAGAGAAGAGCAACAAACTAACTTTTTAATTGAATATTTATTTATTAATTATTTTTTCAATATTTTCCATAACTGGTAAATTTATCACAACCTTACTTCAACCTTACAACTTAATAATTACCTTACCTCAACCTTGACATGTAACCTTACCTCAACCTTAACATGTAACGTTACCTCAACCTTAACGTGTAAGGTTACATCAACCTTAACGTGTAAGGTTACCTTAACCTTAACGTGTAAGGTTACCATGGCCTTATCATATATACTCACCACACCCTAACATGTAACCTTACCTCCATGGCGGAAGTTTTTAGTTCACCTCAGGTCTACCGCAGCAATATTGTGTAACCTTATGTGCCTTTCGATTAGTACTCAACATAACCTTACCTCATACTATTGTGCTATGTGGGTATATAATACTCCAGACCCATAAATTATTAATGCATGTAATTTAATTACTATACCAGTAGAATTTTTAAACCCCGACATTCTTTAAACGTATATATATACAGCCAAAGAATAAATAATTGATCATTCTGTTAACATTCTGCTAATTTTGTTTATAAATAAAACTTGTCAGTAATAATTAGAGAGAATTGCAGGCAGACTATTTTCATAACTATAGAATTATGAGCATAGGAAATATAAAAGATGGCTCATTTCTCCTGCTTCGGAATAATGCACTTTATTTCAATGTGCAGTAAATCATTCAAGAATTTTCCCTAAGCATGAGTCCAATTAACTAGCATTTTTTTCCCCAACTAATGTGAAATTACTTCCAAACATAGTTCAGGGTGGAAAAATATAATTTTGTTTTTCCCTGATTTCTAGAGAAAATTTAGAATTTTCCCCTAAACCTACACTGTAAAAAATTTAGGGAGTTAACGGACTCGGGAGTTGGGAGTTAAATTTTTCGAGTTAAAAATCAACTCCAAAAGAGAGTTAATTTCTAACTCCCTTCATGCAACACCCGCGCGAGTTATTTTTTCCATGGGGAGTTAGCATTTGGGTGTTAAATTTTAACTCTCTTTATTTAACTCCCCTGGCATTAACTCTCCAATGGGTGCGACTTTTATAGACTCCCCTGGGGAGTTAAAATTTAACTCCCTTTTTTTACAGTGTAAAGAATATTCTGATTCAGTCTAAAAATGATCCAAATACGAAAAAAATTTTCTGTTAACATTTATTTTTACGAATTTCTTTAATTATGGAGAATTATTCGAAACATCAATTAATAACTTCTTTTTTTTAAACTAAAATTCTTCTCTAAATCAATTATTTTTAATAATTTTTTAAAAAGATCTTTGAGAACTTTCAAATGAATTTGTCAACAATTCAATTTTACGTAAAATTTCAATTATTCGGAAATTCTTCAATTACATTTCTATTAGAAAATAAAAAAAAAAAACTCGAAATAATTAAAAAAAAATTCAGTTAAATTTGTCCAAAAAATTGATTCTACAGAATTTGCAGTTAAAAGTATGAATAATTCAAATTTTCAAAGATTTTAATTTGAAACCTTTTTAAAATTCAATTATTTCTAAAAAATTCAACCTAATAATGCTTCTAATAATTAATTAGAATTTAATTATTTAGATCATAGATAATTTAGATTTAAGAATTTAAATCAATTATCTAAAATTATTATAACTAAATTTCAATTTTTAAATAAATTTTTATTAGAAAATTTTACGAGAATTCAATTATTTAAATGGAAAAATAAATAATTTATTGAATTGAATATTTCTTAAAATTGAATTCTTCTGAATTTTCTGAATCAATTTTTAAATAATTGAATTCCGACAAAGAATTTTATTATTAATAAAAATAATTGAATTCCTGTAAAAAGTTTTAATATTTGTGTAAATAATTGAAATCTTAACGAGAATTTTTAAAAAATTTTTTAAAATAATTGAATTGTGGGAAGAATTTTATTAAAGTTTTTTTAATAATTGAATTCTTGCGAAGAATTTTATTACTTTTGAAAATAATTAAATTTTGCAAAGAATATTATTAAGCTTCCTGAAAATAATTGAATTTTGCAAGAAATTATTATTAAATTTCCTGAAAATAATTGAACTTCTGGGAAAAATTCATTTTTCAATAAATTTTAATTAAAAAATTCTACAATAATTCAATTATTTAAAGACAAAAATATTAAAATTGAATTTTCATTTTTAAGAATAATTGCATTTTTCGAGGAATTAATTTAAAATTGTATAAAAAATAATTGAAATCCTGCGATGAATTTTATTATTTATGAAAATAATTGAATTTTTTTAACGAATTTTTAAAATAATTAAATTTTAATAAAATATTTCAGAATAATTGGATTTTTTTTTAGGAATTCCATTAAAATTGTATTAAAAATAATTGAAATTTTGCCAAGAATTTTATTAAAATTGTTGAAAATAATTAAATTTTGGAGAAAAATTTTGCCATTTATAAAAAAAATTGAAATCTTGACGAGGATTTTTGAAAATTTTTGGAAAATTATTAAATATTGTTATTTTTGAATATAATTGAATTTTTGAAAGAATTTTATTAAAATTCCTGAAAATAATTAAATTTCTACGATGAATTTTGTTATTTATTAAAAATTAATTGAACTCTTCAATAATAATTGTATTTTAGAAAGGATTTTATTAAAATTCCTGAAAATAATTAAATTTTGGGATGAATTTCGTTATTTATCGAAAATAATTGAATTCTTCAATAATAATTGAATTTTGGAAAGCATTTCATTGAAATTCCTGAAAATAATTTAATTTCTGGGATGAATTTCGTTATTTATTAAAAATAATTGAAGTTTGGAGAGGATTTTAATAAAATTCCTTAAAATAATTTAATTTCTGGGATGAATTTCGTTATTTATCAAAAATAATTGAATTTTGGAGAGGATTTTAATAAAATTCCTGAAAATAATTGAATTTCTGCAATGAATTTCGTTATTTATCAAAAATAATTGAATTCTTCAATAATAATTAAATTTTGGAAAGGATTTGATTAAAATTCCCGAAAATAATTGAATTTCTGGGATGAATTTCGTTATTTATTAAAATAATTGAATTCTTTCGAAAAGGAGAAAATTTTTTTTGAAAATAATTGAAATTTTGCCGCAAGAATTTTATTACAATTTTGCAGAATAATTGAATTTCGTAGAATGATTTTATTATTTATAAAGATAATTGAAATTTTGACCAAAAAATTTTTAATTTTTGAACATAATTGTATTTCTACGAAGAATTTTATTATCTTTGAAAATAATTGAATTTCTGCAATTATTTGTATATTCTCCAAAATACAATTTTTTTTTGTGTCTTTAACTAAAATTCTTCTATGAATCCATTATTTTGTATAATTAATTAAATATATATTAGAAAATGTAACAAATTTTAGATGAATTTGAATTTTTTTAATTTTTCAAGAAACTAAGTTTTAATAAAAATTCTTGACTTTTTCCTGATGTTCCCTGACTAATTCTAATTTTCCTGATTTTTCCCGGACTTCATTTATTTTTCCGGGAAAAAAGAAGTGCTATTTTAACACTAAAAGTGGTGTTAAAACTACACGCAACATTTTTAACCGACACTGTGTGATTTTAACACTACATTAGTGTTAAAATAACACTAGAGTGTGTTAAATTAACACTAGAGGGTGTTAAATTAATATACATTTTTAATGGGTGTTAAAATAACACAAAAATTGTGTTAAAACAACACCATCTGAAAACTACACGTAAAAAATTTAACACATTTTTTTCTGTAATTGTGTCAACCCTGTTGCTTCTTTTAATAAAAAAACATACCCTAATTTTCGATTGTAACAATAAAAGTGAAAATAACAAATAAAAAAAAATGTCTCTTCAAAGATACGAAGTCCCACATCGGAATCGTCGGACAAGAGTGGAAGTGGCACAATGGATCACGATTCAAATCGCCTAGACGATCAGGACGGGCAATTTGAGGACGAGCAAGGACAGGAAGTGGAAAACGAAAGGGGAATGGATGAGAAGAGGCCATTCGAGGGTATGATGAGAGAGTATGCAGAATCAACGATGCAGGAACTTCTTGCGATCTACGGCCTGGCAGGAGGTGAACTTGCCAGGTCGGTCAGCAGGCAACTTCCACCCACCTTTCTCAATCCACCCAGCGGTCAGCAGCCCCAAGGTAAGTCAGTTTCAAATTCTTCTCTACTCATAAATTTCATCCTCTTTTTTTCGTTCCTTTAAAAAAGCAAAAAAAAGAAAGAAAGCTCATCGCTCTGTCACGTAAATATACACACTCGGATTACAACTGCGGATTAATTAGATCAACTGTAATTCGATTCTAAGTCCCCGTCTCCATCGCCAAACAACAAAGTCTTCTTGAATTTACAATAAGGCCTGTGTGTCATTCACTCAAAAACAAACACCCGAAAAAACATATGTTCTCTAATAATTAATTGACGAACTAAAATTGTTTTTCTGAATTTTTTTAATCTAAATTATTACTATCGTGACAATTTTAATTTAAATTCTTTCTACAGTGACAATTTTAATCTAAATTATTACTATAGTGACAATTTAAGTCTGAATTATTACCAAAGGAACAGTTTAAATCGAAGTTACTATACCAAGCAACAATTTTAATCCAAATTATTACTAAAGCAACTATTCAAAAATATAAATTTTTAGGGTTTTAAATATTTTTCTCAATGGTTCATACTTCATAGCCAAATTATAGTAATTTTTATTTTCGAAATTGCGATACTTCCACATTTTTTTACTTTCACAGATACTAAAAGAATTTCAGACTCACCAACACAAGTACAAAACACCCACAAAAAGGCACATATACATAATATTAAAAATCATCGAACATTCTACATTTTCGAGATCTAATCATTATGACGACCTTTCAAGTCACTTCACTTTTTTTTCCACCTTATTCAAATTATTTTAAAACATGAAAATGTAAATCGAAAAAAAGTTAATTATATATACAATAACTCGAAATGAAAAAGTATTTTAAAATTCCATTTTATGAATGTAATTTGCTCGTGTATGTAATATTTCTAGTTAATAAGAAATGAAACTCAAGAGATAAAGAGCGATATTTAGTTTATTGTACACAATAAGGATAAAATTCGATCTAAATGTAAATCATTCGGTAGTTCATTTCTATTTATATGTTAAGAAAACAGTTAACGGAGATAGAAAATTATTCTAAGAATTTCAGAAGTTATTTTTTTGATATATAAATTATTTGCGAGAAAAGTGATAAGTGGTTGTATCGCTGATAAAGTGTTACTAATAAATTTTAAGAAATGGGTTAAAATTGATCAAACATCAGGGAGAGGAATATTAGAATCGACTGTAAACGGCTAAGTAAGCACATAGATGAAACAGAAATGTGGCGCGCATTTATAATGTTGCCTCGCATATGCGCGCACATGAATATATGATGGCTTTGCAAGATGGCCGACTTTATAAGTCATAAAATTGTTTTGTGTTTCGCGCAAATCGATGAGTATTTTTTTTTAGGACACACGCTTTTAATTTTTCACGTTTTTTTTATCGTTCTTTAATTATGTAACAGTTCTTTTAATGTGCCCTGCTGCTAGCATTTGCTATATCGTTCAACGAACAACACATACTGAATCGCTAAATTTTTATTAATCATTTCATTTTTTTTTTTTTTTTTTTTTTTTTTTAATTTAGAATTTCTGTACAAACTCAGACTTTGCGCTCAATAATTAATTTTAAAAACGTAGTAAAAAGTAGCTTTCAAAATGAAAAATGTATAGTAAAAAATGCAGCTATCGAAAAATTAAACTTGACGACCAAAAATAGTTTTAGACATACTTTACAAAACTGAACAAAAATTCTATTCTATATTTTATTTTCTTCACTTTTTCCTAATTTTCATCAAAAATATTTACTTCTTTCATATTCTGCTAATAAATTAAATTCCTGCAACGAAAATTTATTATTCGTGAAAGCATTTAAATATTTATAAAAATAATTTAATTCTTGCCGAAGAATTTTATAAAATTTTTTTTAAATAATTCATTTCTTTCCACTAATTTTATTTTAAAATAATTTTTACTGAAAATTTTAAAAGTAAGTGAATTTTATAAACAATTTCTTTCAATTTTTAAAAATAATCGTGTTTATTATTAATAATTATTGCAATTAATAATTTTTCTATTAAATTATATTAAAATTATTCATAAAAAATTAAATTCATTTAAACAATTTTATTAAAGTTTTTGTAAACAATTACATTTTTTTTTTAAAAGAAGAATTTTATTAAATTTTGTAAAAATAATGTAATTTTTTTAAATAATGTTAATTGATAATTTTGAAAATAATTGAAATTTGCAAAGAATTTTATTAAAGATTTTATTCAAAAAATTGAACCTATTGATAATAGAAATTTCTCAAAATAATGATATTTTTTACAAAAATAATTAAATTCTTACCAAGAATTTGACAATTTATAGAAAAAATTAAATTGTTTCGAAGAATTTTATATTAGAATTGTTGAAAATAATTGAATCGTTATATTAAAACTCTTGAAAAATAATTGAATGTAAAAAATATTTTTAAAAGTAATTGAATTCTTCCGCAACATTTTATTTTTTATGAAAATAATTGAATTCCTTTGAAGAATTTTATTATTTATGAAAATATTTCAATTCGTGCGAAGAATTTTATAAAAATTTTTAAATAATTGCTTTCTTTCGACAAATTTTATATAAATTCTAATTTAAATAATTAAATTCCTGAGAAGGTTGTATTAATTATGAAAAGAATTGAATTCTTAAGAAGAGTTTTACGAAAAAATTTTGTAAATAATTGAATTCTGTTGGGGAATTTTATGAGAATAGTAAATATTGAAAATCATTGAATTTCGAAACGTTTTAAAAAATAATTAAATTTTACAAAGAATTCTATTAAAATTTTTGAGAATAATAAAATGTCTATGTGGCATTTTATTAATGTTCTTTGAAAACAATTGAATTTCTAAAAAGTATTTTATTATTTATGAAAATAATTGAATTTTTCTCACCGAACTTTAATAAAGTTTTTAAATTAATTGCATTCTTGAAAAGAATTTAAAAAAAATAATTTTCAAGAAATGATTTTTTTCACAAAATTTTATGAAAATTGTGTTTTAAATAATGTAATTTCTTTGCAAATTGTATATAATTTATGAAAAAAATTGAATTCATTCGAAAATTTGTATTAAAATTACTTTAAAAACAATTCAATTGTTATAAAGAATTTCATTAACATTTTTTAACATAATTGAATTCTTTCAAAGAATTTTATTAAAATTTTTAAGAATTGTTGCATTTTTCGCACAATTAATTTAAAATTGAATTTAAAAATATTGAAACATGCGATGAATTTTAATATTTATAAAAATAATTGAAATTTTGCAACGAATTTTATTAAAATTTAAAAATAATTGAATTTTAATAAAATATTTAAGAATAATTGCATTTTTTTCGAGGAATTCAATTAAAATTCTATTAAAAATAATTGAAATTCTGCGATGAATTTTATTATTTATGAAAATAATTGAATTGATAAAATTGTTTGTTTATTTTGTAAAAATAATTTGAAATTTTTACAATGAATTTTATTAAAATTCCTGAAAATCATTGAATTTTTATGAAGAATTTCGTTATTTATCAAGATAATTGAATTCTATTGAAAAATTATTTATGAAAATAATTGAATAATTGGGAGGAATTTTATTAAAAATGATTCTAAAGTTCTGAACGTTCAAATGAACGAAATTTATTTATTTCTTCTTCAAATTAAATTTTTACTACAAAAATTTTGCGTCACTATCAAAAAAATTAATTATAAAGGTTCTAAATGTAAATTTTTAGTTTTTAATTTTAATTAAAATCGAAAATTTCTGAAAAAATTTTGTATAAAAAATATTTCGTTCATTTGAACGTTCAAAAATTGTGGATCATTATTAAAACCTAAAAGAATAATTGAATTATTTCGAAAAAATTTAATTAGAATTGTATTTAAAATAATTGATTCTTTTCGATTTTCTAACAATTTTATTAAAATATTTGACAATAATTGAATTCCTGTGAAAATTTTGTATATTTTTGTAAATAATTGAATTCTTCCAATGAAATTTATGATGAAATTGATGTTTATTCTTGAAAATAGAAAGTTTTTTAATTTACAATATAATAATAAATGGAATACCGCAAGTGCTAGTGTTTATTTAAATTTTTGATCCTTATTAGAAAATTATGTTTAAAAATAAAGGGGGCTATCTGAATGATCTGAAAATAAGAATTGAGACTATATCGTGTATACACTTTGCGGAGAAAAATGAGCGAGAGCTTGCAGATCGTGATTTTATTTCGAATTCTCAACGGGTGGCAGAATATAAGCAATAGGCAATCCGGCAAAGATCTTTTACCTTCTATCTCATTCTTTCGGGGTGGGAGAAATATCATTTTGAAGAAACGTTTGGAGAAAAAAATCACGCATCGCTATCAGTTAATGAATCTTTCGCGAAGAAGAGACTGAACCAAGAGCTGTGAAGAAAGAAGAAGAAGAAGTAGAAGGTGGAAAAGGCTCGTCCTGACAATGGACGGTATGGGGCATCCGACGAAATTCAAAAAATAAAAAATGATTCCAAAGACTCAAGTGTACGGACTTTAAGATCGTTGGAAGAGTGCTTGTCCCGTCCATCCGTCCAACTGTCCGTCTCACTCTCTCTCTCTCTCCTCTTTTCTTTTCATTCTCCTTTATCCGAGCAGAATGATTAATGGGTCCACGCTGGGCATGACGGTTTTCTGGTTTTCTTCGAACTGGATAACACCCAATGAAGGGAAGCGAGAAAAAGAGTCCCGGGCACAGTGAAAGCACACATCTCATGTGAATTCTTTAACCCTTTCGAAACAAAAGAGCATATTAATGCGCCTTCAGTTTTCAAGGGGAATTTCAAAATTTTTCAAACAATGGATTTTTATTAATGATGAGAGAAAGAAACGTTTCGTTGAAATAGTATTCAGATAATTATAATTCTCTAAATTATGTTTAACCGAAAAAATTGTTCTTCAGACCTCGGACTCACGTATTATTAATGACACTTGTTTCGTTTCAAAATAGCCAGCACTAATGATATGCTAACCGAGATTT